GCAGGGGCAGGGACGTGGAGCGGCAGCTGGGCGCGGAGCTGGAGCGAGCGCGGGCGGAGCTGGACGGGGCCGAGCGGCGGTCGCAGGCGCTGCGAGAGCGAGCCGAGGGGCTCGCCGCGGAGCTAGCGGAGAGCCGGGACGTGGGGCGCGCGCGTGACGCGACCTCCATCGCGCTCTCCAAGAGCCTCGCGCAGAGCCAGCAGCAGGTACGGGGGGCGGGGGGCGGGGGTGTGGCGCCCACCGGCTCTGCCCGCTGTTGCGGCGCGGCTTCACGCGTCGGAAACAAATCGCGAGTGAAGGAAGAATTTCAACTCGTGTGGCCGCGCGGTGTTCGCTCGCCCTCGTCGAGAGAGACAACGGCTCGGAGGTTGCGGGGAACAGCAGACGAGCGGGACGGCAGCCGGGGCAGTGAGCCGGCGCTATCAACAATTGCCCAAGCTCTGAGGTCCTCTATGTATTAAGTTGTTATTGAGTACATGTGGGAGGAAAGCGGAGCACCCGGAGAAAATCCACGTGTGCGATTAGATCGATGTAGCGATCTCGTTATTTATTTATTTAGGGGTAACAAAGGAAGAAAAATAATGCTTTCTTATCAGTTATGTAACACTTTCCAACATGCGTTTGCACTAGGTATTTAATCATCTGTATGGCATTCGATGGATGACTGTAAAGTAAAAAATAACAATTTGCATATTCCCAAATAGTCCTTTACAGTGAGGGAAAAAAGTATTTGATCCCCTGCTGATTTTGTACGTTTGCCCACTGACAAAGAAATGATCAGTCTATAATTTTATAGGTAGGTTTATTTGAACAGTGAGAGACAGAATAACAACAAAACAATCCAGAAAAACGCATGTCAAAAATGTTATGAATTGATTTGAATTTTAATGAGGGAAATAAGTATTTGACCCCCTCTCAATCAGAAAGATTTCTGGCTCACAGGTGTCTTTTATACAGGTAACGAGCTGAGATTAGGAGCACACTCTTAAAGGGAGTGCTCCTAATTTCAGCTTGTTACCTGTATAAAAGACACCTGTCCACAGAAGCAATCAATCAATCAGATTCCAAACTCTCCACCATGGCCAAGACCAAAGAGCTCTCCAAGGATGTTAGAGACACGAGTGTAGACGTACACAAGGCTGGAATGGGCTACAAGACCATTGCCAAGCAGCTTGGTGAGAAGGTGACAACAGCTGGTGCGATTATTCACAAATGGAAGAAACACAAAATAACTATCAATCTCCCTCGGCCTGGGGCTCCATGCAAGATCTCACCTCGTGGAGTTGCAATGATCATGAGAACGGTGAGGAATCAGCCCATAACTACACGGGAGGATCTTGTCAATGATCTCAAGGCAGCTGGGACCATAGTCACCAAGAAAACAATTGGTAACACACTATGCCGTGAAGGACTGAAATCCTGCAGCGCCCGCAAGGTCCCCCTGCTCAAGAAAGCACATATACATGCCCGTCTGAAGTTTGCCAATGAACATCTGAATGATTCAGAGGACAACTGGGTGAAAGTGTTGGGGTCAGATGAGACCAAAATGGAGCACTTTGGCATCAACTCAACTCGCCGTGTTTGAAGGAGGAGGAATGCTGCCTATGACCCCAAGAACACCATCCCCACCGTCAAATATGGAGGTGGAAACATTATGCTTTGGGGGTGTTTTTCTGCTAAGGGGAAAGGACAACTTCACCGCATCAAAGGGACGATGGACGGGGCCATGTACCGTCAAATCTTGGGTGAGAACCTCCTTCCCTCAGCCAGGGCATTGAAAATGAGTCATGGATGGGTATTCCTGCATGACAATGACCCAAAACACACGGCCAAGGCAACAAAGGAGTGGCTCAAGAAGAAGCACATTAAGGTCCAGGAGTGGCCTAGACAGTCTCCAGACCTTAATCCCATATAAAATCTGTGGAGGGAGCTGAAGGTTCGAGTTGCCAAACGTCAGCCTCGAAACCTTAATGACTTGTAGAAGATCTGCAAAGAGGAGTGGAACAAAATCCCTCCTGAGATGTGTGCAAACCTGGTGGCCAACTACAAGAAACGTCTGACCTCTGTGATTGCCAACAAGGGTTTTGCCACCAAGTACTAAGTCATGTTTTGCAGAGGGGTCAAATACTTATTTCCCTCATTAAAATGCAAATCAATTTATAACATTTTTGACATTCGTTTTTCTTGATTTTTTTTGTTGTTATTCTGTATCTCACTGTTCAAATAAACCTACCATTAAAATTATAGACTTATCATTTCTTTGTCAGTGGGCAAACGTACAAAATCAGCAGGGGATCAAATACTTTTTTACCTCGCTGTATGTCCAGGATTATGTGTCCAAGTTTCCGGCAGCTCTTTGCCCCAAGTTGGCCGGTTTCCAATCGGACGAGCCCTACATTCACACTCGGATTCCCTTCATATCGCGTGTGTCGTGAAGAGAGTTCTAGCGGCACGACGTTACGGACGGATGGAACTAACAAACGTTTCTCTCTCTCTCTCTCTCTCCCCCCTCCGTTGTCACCGGGGACGGCACCGGCGGCGGCGCCAGCTGGCGGAGTGCGAGGAGGACCTGCTGCGGGTGCGGACTGCTGCGGAAGCGTTCCGAGCGACGCACGCGCACTCCGACTCGGAGCACGAAGCCCTGCAGGGGCGTGCGCGCCAGCTGCTCACGGTGACGAACGCAACCGGGAAAAACCCCCGTTGCCGCGCGTGCCCGTCGGCACGCGCGGCAACGGGGAGCCGCCCCGCGGACGAGAGCCAAAAAGGTCGAGGCCGGCGCGGAGTTTGCCGACCGAGTCGAATGCTGCTGAAGGCAGATCTGCTGAAACGTTTTTTTTGTTACATGGAGAGACGTGTGTGTGGTGTTGAGAGGGTGTCAACAGGGCGTATGTAGACACAGGTGACGTCAAATAATGAAGCTGAAATGGGGCAACAAGTGTGATAATCGTGGGACCGTTTACGAATGGGTACAGCGGGTGCAATTAGACAAAGATGCATTGGCTTCGTATCGGAAGATGGCCGGTATAAAGCACCATTAACGGCAGTCCTAGTCGCGCTACGTTTTTCGATTACCACTTTTTTCGAGTCAATGGGACAGTGGCCTTTCGATGTACGCGATGCTCACTTATTGTCAGCGATGGCACCTTCGTTTTTTATGTAACACTGAACAACATTTTTCGCGTCATACTGCATTGGCAGCGGTGCACAAGCACGCCTAATAAGAACTCAACAAATTCGTCAGCAACACTGTGGCCTCAAGAGGAACAAAACTATATAAAAATAGGGGACCTTTTGGGAAATGGCCCTTCTTCATAGCAGAGAGATCCATTGTCGCTGCAATGAAGACCAAATGTCATGTAACAATATCCTTGTTTCACAAATGTGAAAGCGCTTTGAGTGGCAGATTTGTGTCAAAATTTATTTGACTTGCCAAACACTGTCTTTGCTTCACAAATTGATATCTCCGATGGCCAGGAATTGGAATCGGTGAAGGCTGAACTGCAGGCCCGAACAAAGGCCTTCGAGGAGCAAGGGGCCAAACTGGCACAGGCAACCGATGAGAGAGACTCCCTGGCCAGGGAGGCGGACAGGCGAGAGGCCAGGCTTCAGGGCCTGCAGATGGAGGCGTCCGAGGCGGTGGCCAGAATCCTCGTGCTGGAAGAGGACGTCGTGAATACTCGCAACCTCTGCCTGCACAAGGAGAAGGTGAGGTGGCCCAACGCAGTCGCTAACAATTAAAAAATGTAACAAAGCAAGAACGAGACTTCACTTCTTCAGGAAGCGGAACGTTGGGCATCGTGCCAAACAACAAAAGACAAAGGTGGTCGCGTGAGCGTTGGTGAGGCCACACCTCACCGCCTTCTGCACTGTGCCAGCCTTAATAGGTGCTCGCCAATAGCACTTGCTCAAACGGGCTATACGGGTCGACAGCCGCGACTAAACAACGGTACCTTCGTCTCTCCGCGTGCCACCACCTCCGCCGCTTCCCTTTGCCAGGCTGCGGAGGAGGCGCTGTGTCGCGCGGACCGCGCCGAGCGCGAGTCCGCGGGGTGGCGCGCCGAGGCCGAGGGCCTGCACGCCGACACGCTCGCCCGCCAGGCCGAGTCGCAGGACCTGCGGGCGACGGCCGCCCGGCTCCGTGCCGACAGCGAGGCCGCCAAGGCCGCCGGCGACCGCTCGCGCTCCGAGCTGCAGGCGGCGCAGCGGCTCAACCGCGAGATGGGTGAGTAGCTCGCTTGCGACGCGGATTCTGCACACGTTGCTTGGGTCCAGTCCTTGTTTTTGCCGGAGGCGGACAAGGGGCTTGCCACAAACAGGGGGGGGGCGGGGCCCGTTGGAAACCATGTGTGTACGTATATTGGAATTCTTTAGCGCCGTACATAGCCAGCCATGCTAATCAGAGGTGCGGGATAATCGGAGGTGCGGGTAATGATCGGGACGCCAACACGCACTGACTTGTCAACTTTACTTGGCATTAACCAAAGTAAAGTTGAGTCAAGTTAAATAGCTGCTCATCCCGAGCTATTAATGCTTTGATATTTGCATTGCCTTTGTGCTGTTCGCATTTTGCCATTCTCTGGTCTAACACTGGTGCAGAGCCAAGGCCAGAAAAGAGGGGGGGGGGGTCTGATGAAGGCCAATCACCACAAGCAGCTGTCATTAATGCAGACTTGATGCCTTGCAATAGGTGCCTGTTTGGTGTCCGAACATCCTAATACCTTAATAATAGAGGTAATTTTTTTTGGTTAGATCGCGTAAATATAAATGTGTCGTTAAACCCGCCACCACCCGAGACAGCCAATTAGTAAGGTTTGTCACGTAAACAAAAACACGCTAATACAATATCTAACCCAATATTAGTCGCGAAAGGCTGCGTGTTAACCCTAACACCTACTGTATTATCGCCGGAAAGGGTAAAAAGGCCTATTCTCTTTTTTATCATCTTGTGTCAAGTTGTTGTTTTTGTCGTCGTCGTCGTTGTCTGACCCCTCCCAGCTCAGGAGATGGCTCGCGAGCAGGAGCGCGGGGCCCTCATGGAGGCGGGCCTGCAGGCGGCGCAGGACAAGCTGGGCGAGCGCGTCGCCGAGGCCGTGCGCCACGAGAAGGCTCAGCGCCGCCTACAGGCCGAGCTGCGCTCCGCCCTCGAGAGCCTCGCCACCGGCCAGAAGGAGGCCCAGGCGCTGAGGTGACCACAGCATAAGCATGGCGCCACGCTGCCTCTCACAGAGATTCTCCCCCCCCCCCCACCCCACCACCCCCGTGTAGCCTGAACAGACTGTGGGAGGCCCAGGCCCTGAGGTGACCACAGCGTCCGTCTAGCGCCACGCCATTTGTCACGAAGATCCCCCACCCCCACCGCCGCCGTGTAGCCTGAACAGACTGTTGGGGCAAGTGCCGTCAGCGTGTACTTACGAAGGTCGGCACGGCACCACGAGCGGGTGGGTGGTCAGCACCACGCCCAGTCGGATTTGTCACCCCTAAGTGGCGATGTTGACTCACCGCACCAGGTGCTCAATTGAGTCTCTTACACACACATGCACGCACACACACACGGGGCCTTGTTTCAATGACCACTGGGAACTGGCTGCCCCAGCCTAGGAATTGCCCAGGAATGGCACCATGGCCTGGGTCCGTGTCCCCACACTCCACGAGCCTTGAGGCTTTTGCTGGGCTACGTTCTGCCCACTCTGCCCCCATCCCCACCATTTCCTTACATTTTGCGGCTGGGGATCCGAATCGGGAAGCGATCACAACAAGAAATCAGTGAAGCTGTTGATGACTCGAATCTGTAAATGATGAGAAAACCCATCGTAACAGAAAAATGAATGGCAGATCTAAACAAATATATTTACCAGCACACAAAGGTGTGCAGTATGGTGTGTACAACAGTCTTATCGAGACCACCAACTCAAAATAAATACGTTTGTTGCTATTTTGTCATGTAGACAAGGCATACGGCAATAGTGAACATTGATGCCTGCATTGTCCTGATGAGCCCCAATGATGATGAAACTGGTCTAATGTCATGTCCGTTTCACTGCTGCTGGGTTGGGAAGGCCACCGCTTTCTCAACTGTTTTGAGTCGGTGGTCTAACTGACAAGATGGCCACACAATTCGGTTATTTTGAGCTGGTGTTCCGGATAAGGCTAAGCTTCTGTTCCTTCCAATGCTGCACACACCTTTGCGTGTTGTTAAATCTACGGCGATGACGGCGAGAGCGTTGACGCCGTCACGGCTCGCCCGCAGGCTGCGAGCGCAGGCCCTCGAGGGAGATCTGTCCGCGTGCCGCACCGCGCTGGCCGAGTCCGAGCGACTCCAGGACGAGCTGGCGCGACGCGGGGCGGCGCTGGAGGAGACGCGTGCGCAGCTCTCCGCCCTGCACCAGCAGGTCTGCGCTACCTCACGCACGCACTCACCTCACGTACGCACATACCTCACGCACGCACTCACCTCGGACATATCTCGCGCATGTGTTAGAGAACGGTACACAGAAGCGGATGCCACAGCTACCTCCGAGATTCCTCCAGGTGACCTCTGGTTTACACAGTAGGAAGCCGCATTTTGTCATGCGCCCTGCAACTGAGAAAAACGTTCGTCACATGGCATCCAAACCAATGTTTGTTTATTTATTTATTCTCAGAGTGGGAATTTAGCCAAATTAGGCGGAACAAAACATTTATTCTCATATATTTTTTGGTGCAGTCATTGGTGGCTGCGCTAAGACCATCAACTTACTCCACTTGAGGACCCAGTTTAAACACAGGCAGCTACCTGGATTCAAACCCAGAATCTCGGCGTCACCAAGATCAGCGCTCTGACCTCCAATGTGAGCGCCAACCGCACCTAGCACGAGCGTCTATAATATCGTTCATTTATCCAGGGAAGTTTCAGTCCTGCCCAAGCACACTAACTTTTCTCAACAGTTCGTATATGTCTCTAGTTTGGGTCCTCTGATTCATGTGCTCTTCTCACTATCGCCACCATCACCACACTCAGCAGTGGCGGTCGTGGTTGGCTACGTACGGTGCAAAAGAAGTTAAGCATACATATGTACGTACATAGTACATCCGGCCTCCTCGGCAAACCGTTACCCTTCACGGCCACCGTCTGTGCGCTTTCGTTCCTGCCACCTTCAGCTGGCGACGGAGACGGAGGCGACCGCGTCCCTTCGGGAGGAGCTGGAGCGGCAGCGCGAGCGGAGCTCCAGCCTCCAGGCGGAGCTGGGGGCCGCGCGGGAGACGGCGTCGCGGCACGAGGGCGACGCGCAGGCGCTCGCGGCCCGCCTGCAGGACGCCGGCAAGCAGGTGCCACCGTCGCCGCCACCGCCGAAACAAAGACAAAAGATCCCCCCGTGTAGCCTGAACGGACTTTTTTGGGGCAAGTTGCGTCAGCGAGTGGCGCCTATTGAAGGCCGGCACGGCACGTGAAGGGGTTGGTGGCCAGCACCGGGCCCGGCCGCCTTTGACTCCCGAGTGGCGATGTTTTTACGCACCGCACCAGGTACGCATTTGAGACTGAATCGACTTAGGGGAGGCCCAGCACCGGTTCAGATAATCGTCACCGGTGTCGGCTGTGAGTGGGAATCGAACCCAGGGGACAGGATTCGTAGCACAGCAACACCACCACCACACCTGGCACCTCCACTACCAACCCCCCCCCCCCTTCTACCACCACCACCTGGACCATACCCACCGCCACCACCACACCCATTACTGCCACCACTTCCATATCTGCCACTACCACACCAATTACTGCCACCTCCACGGTATCTGCCATCACCACCACTACTGCCACCACCAAAAGAGCCAATGCCACCCTTCCTGCACCACTGCCACCTTCCCTACACCACTGCCACCACCACCATGCCTTTCCCCATCATCACCACCGTCACCATAACCACCATCACCACTGCCGCCACCACCATCACCACCATCACCACCATCACAGCCAACACCATCACCAGGCCCGCTGCGACCACTACCACCACTGCTGAGAGTAGTGATGGTGGGGATAGTGAGAGGACAACATGGAACGGAGGACCCAAATTAGAGAAACATTGACTGTTGGTAAAAGTTGGGCAAGACCGAAACTTCCCTGGATAAATAAATGATATGACTGACAAGCACACCAACATGTCTGGCCAAACCTGCCCGAAGGTCCTTGCCGAAGCCCTCTGACAAATAACAACTCCTGACCCCTTGCACGCCATGAAATTTCAGGTCATGTTTCCACGAACTAACAGCCCCCACGAAGCCATTTTCCCACGAACAACTTTACCGATTTCCCAGGTCACTTCAAGTGCTGTAGAGTGTCGTGGGATTGCGACTCGCTTCAAAAATATGCCAGCGTTTCCAATTTACAAGCAACATTATCGCGTCGTCTGCGGAGGCCTCCCTGGGGAAATCACATAGTGGTACCCCCATTGGAGTTAAGCGCCCCAGGAAGTTCTGAAGAAGTCGGGAGGAGAGAGACCGTGGCTGCCGAGATGCTGGAATATTTTAAACACGTAGGTTGTGAAGATTAATTGTCCATCATTTCACTGGGGTTGATAAAATAGGTACCGCTTTGTGGGAAGTCCACAGTGGTTGGACTCCGCACAGACTCGTGTTGTTTGGTGAAATTGTGTTTGTTCAGTCCAAATTTGCTTCTGGGTTCGGCCACGTGGTGGTAGATTTATGGAAAAATCATGAAACATTTACATGTGCACATGTATTGATCACATTCTGACCGAGAAAGCTCATCACGAGTGGCTTAAGACTTTTCGCGATTGAATGTGACATCGACGTGTATGTTGATGTGAACATGCCGTTACGTTGATAAGCTATAAGTTATGATTGTGCCAATCGGTAATGATCGTGCTGCTTAGTGATAACTGTGTTGATCAGTAACGATCGCGCTGATCAGTAACGACCGTTACGATCGTTTGAAACACGATGCCGTGTAATGACGGCCGCTTTCTCGTCCCCTGCCCGTCCCGCGCCGCCCCAGCTGGAGAGGGCCCACGGCGAGGGGCGAGACGCGCGGCGGGCGCTGGACGGCTCCCAGACGGAGCTGCGACGAGCGCGGTCCCGCGTCGACGAGGCGCAGGCGCTGGCCGAGCGGCGGCTGCACGAGGTCAGCCCTGCGACGAACCTCTCCCCCTCTTTCTTTCCACAAACCCTCGTCCCGGTTGCGCGCCACCGGTGTCGTAAGAGCGGGGCGGCACTTTGTGTTAAGAGGACGGCACGCATAAGCGGGCGGGGTATGACAGAGCTACCTCTGAGATCACTGCACGTGACGCTGTTTCGCACGGTAGGGGGCAGCACTGTCCCACCTGTTCTGCCACTGTTAAAGTCCGCAGAAGTGGATATCACAGAGCTGCTTCTTAAAAGTTTTAAATACTTTTTTTGCGGATTTTTTTTCTCCCAAATTGCTCATCCTTGCACTACGTTATGTTGTTGAGGTATAAGCATAGTGACGGAGTGACACAAATATTTGATTACATCTAGAATGGAAAGGATGTCCGCTGCAGAGATGAAGCGATGAAATCAGCTTGGAAGCAGGTGGTAGAGAGATTGTCAAGTCGCTTGACCGTGAGAGATGATGATGGCTTATTTAACAATCATGGCTAATGCTGATGATGACGATGACAAGATTATGAATATGTATAATTGTCATGATGCTCTGTTAAATGTAAGTATATTACTTTATAAATAACACAACCCGTGCACAACTTGCGGTGACATTCAAATAGCATTTTGCGGTGCTAACCCATTGGGGCTCCGAAGCGGAAGTTATTTTTGGGGCCCCCTCCTTCAGTTGATAAAATCCTAGCGAGATGACGGAATAGGTAAGAGACATGTAAACAGAACAGAGATGTGGTGACAACAAGGGACGTTGAATGCAGATAACGTACAGAAGAGAGAAGTTAATTGTCTTTTTTTTATTTTAACGATCTTGTTCCGTTCATTAGGATTTCAATTTGAGCTGACATTTGAAAGAATCCAATTTTTGGTAATGAATCCTGAGGGCCCTCGAGCTTCTTTGGGGCCCTAAGTTCTTTGCTCGGTTTGTTTATTTCCCCCGCCACCGCTGCCCGGCCGCCAGCCAAGTGGCTCAGTGATAGAGCGTGCGGCTCGCAATCGGAAGGTCTGCGAGTTCGCCACCCGTTTGGGGGAGGGTGTCGACTCAGCCTGCCGTCCCTCCATTCAGGGGTGGACACAGCATGCATCGCTTCGTGGGCGAACTCAACAGCGTTTGTCCTGTCGAGAGACCCGTCCCTGCCATGGGAATGTGGAATTTTCTAAGCACTGACTGAGGGCCGCAGGACAGGAGACGAGCAACCCTCCTCAACGGCCGCCGGAGGAAGAAATCGCAGTTGACGTTTTGACCTTTTTGACCCAGGGGGGCCGGGACAGCGTAGAAACACCGCGAGCGTCGTCGCTGTCCACTCGCAGGTCACGCGGCTGGAGCTGGAGCTGGCGGCCGAGCGGGACAGGAGCCGGGAGCTGCAAGCGGGCGAGGGGCAGCTCCAGCGGCTGCTGAGCGAGCTCTCCGGCCTCCGCGGCGTGCAGCGTGACACGCAGCAGCAGGTGGGGGTGGGGGAAGATTCGATATAATAATTTATTGTTATTAATTTGCTTGTTTACGGGTGGTGCCAAGTTCTCCCAGTCGGGAGCGATGATCGATTTTGGCAAAAACATTTCGGAGCTCGGGCTTTTTCGATCCTTGCCCCTGAGATTTGGACCGCTGTGTGCCTGAAGAACTGTGCCCGACCGCTGAGATTCTCCCATTTCAGAAAGAAATTAAAAAGCCGTCGTGCCGACAGCTCGCGATGTTGCAACCCCCCCTGGATGCGCCCAATCTCACCAGAGCTCAGAAGCCGAGCAGGGTTTAGCCTGGATAGTGCTTGAGTGGACGGACGGTCACGGTGTAGAATAGATTTAATTGAGGCCACAAAATGCCTTGTTGTACTGTATTTCTATGCCCCCCAGGTGTATGCTCCCCGCCTTGACCAGCCCACGATGGCCAGAATGGTGAATTACGATCTCATAACCCACGTAACCCACACGGCGTGGGTAGGCCCTCGTCCAGCAGTGGATTGGCAGAGGGCTGTACATGTACAATATTGCCATTTGTCTATCCAGTCGAGTCTCACCGAGCTTCAAGACTTTTTTTCAGGAGAGTCCTAAGTTTGGATATTTTGCCATTTCCATTATTAAAAGTATCTTTGCATGTGGGAGGAAATCCGAGTACAGCAGGCGTACCAAGGGGGTATAACACGTGTCCGCACAGAGGGGTAAATGAACTCCCTTGCACCGCGCGGTCACCTCGCATCCACGCTGGTTTTTGAGAGGGCCCGCAAATCTCCACGCGATCCGCCAAACGTCGTCTCTCTAAAAGCGCCGCGTTTGCCCGCATCCCCCGATTAGCACGGTCGTCTGCGTACGGCGCGTGAAATAAGTTCAACGTACCGTACACGCGCAGGCGTACTCCACCCCGCCTGAACTTTCTTATTTCACGGGGGCCTCCGTTCAATAACGCAGCGCTTTGATCCATGTTGATATAATTTCTGCGGATTGATTTGTCTTCATAAACACAGCTTAAAGTCTTAATCTATACGCCCTTCCTTTCTGTGCCTCTTAATTTGTTTTCCCACCTCGCGTTGACCTTGCTGCACTCGTCCTGCCCTTACTCCCCCCCCCCCCCGTCCAGTTGGGCTCTCTCCCTTCTTCCTCTCGTCTCTCCCCCCCCCCCACACCCGCCCACTTCTGTTCACCTCCCCTCTCCACGCCTTCCCGTGTCCTCCGCTCTTCCTTGTGCTCCTTCACGGAGCGGCGTGCCGTGGCGTCACGTGTCTCTCCCAGGTCACCAGGTACCACGTGAAGCACGCACGCATGCCGACTCGCTGCACCGGTTCTTGATGTTGCCCTTCTGTTTGTCTCCAAATTAAGGATGCATGTGTGCTCACTGGGAGAGATTCAATCTCTGAGACTGAAAAATATTGGATTGACTGTCATTACTGTCTATCCCTGAGCACTTCTTCAGTCAATGCGATGTCTCTCACCACGTGCTCCTCTTTCTGCATCCGTGCATTTGCAAGTACAGCTCGGCTCTCCCATTATTCCAGAATCAGAGTATTTAATTGTACTGGAGGAATCCGATGAGCTATAAAGCCCCTTTTCACAGATGCCCAGTGTGGTGTAGGGGGCGTCGTTGGAAAGTGGCGGAAGTGATGTCCGCCTCATCAGTGTGGACCAGACGTCACATGCAGGGATCTCAGAGGTAGCTTTGTGATATAACAAGCGGACGTTTCTGGGAAAACCAGGGCAGGTGGCAACCCGTCCTGTTGCATGACAAACGATTTCTCATTTGGCAGGAGATCAAGAGTACGGCACGCTGCCCAGCGCGCAGATGACTTCGCTGTCAGTCGCCACCGACTCCAGTATGATGCTCGATTAGGGTCACAAAAACCAGGACAGGTGGCAAGCCTACTCTAAGTTACCTCTCTCTCTGGTTTTTATTTAATTATTGAAGGGGCACCACGGCGGTGTAATGTTGTCTTCCTCGCCTGCTATGCAGGAGGTCGTGGGTTTGATCCCGAGCCTGATGCCTGCTGTATAATTGGAGTTTGCATGTTCTCCCCCGTGGTTGCGTGGATTTTTTTCTCCCGGTCCTCCGTTTTTCTTTCCGCCATATTTAAATGATTTGGCTGCTATAAATTTCTGTGTGATAAGCCAATTAGTTGAGCTATCGTTTGTAGCCAGGCCACTTCTGAAAAAGAAGCAAATAGCTCGGTAGGCTTTACTTGGTAAAATAAAAATGTGTTTAACTTTAATTGTATTTTTTTTTATTTGCTTACGTATACTTTGCAATTCCTATTGTGTTTTTGTACCGTTTGCCGTGGTAACGTTCTGACCCCGTGCCCCTACTGGACACCTGTGAAGAAAGAGCTTTACGGCTCATTGGATTCCTCTCCGGTATAAAGATTTCGATTGCGGTGCCCCCCATCCCCCTCTCTCCCGCAGCTCGAGCGCAAGGAGGCGGAGGTGGAGTCGACGCACGCCGAGCTGTCTCAGGCCGTCGAGAGGCTCGTGCAGCTGGAGACGGAGGTGGCGGCGCATGACAAGAAGGTGAAGCGCTACAAGGTGGAGCTCAAGAAGTGCCGCTCGCAGGCGCAGCAGCAGCAGGAGGAGGTGCGTGCCCACACACACACACAAGACAAAGATCCCCCCCCCCGTGTAGCCTTTAACGGATTCTTGTTGGGACAAGTGCCGTTGGCGAGCGCCAATTGTGACCGGTACGGCACGCCGCAAGGTGGTGGGTGACCAGCGCCACGCCTGGCGGCCTCTGTCTCCCTTGATGCCGGTGTTTACGCATCGCGGATCAGGTGCTCGTTTGAGGTTTAGTCGAATTTGGGGAGGGCCCGGGACCGGTTCATACATTCGGCACCGATGTTGGTCGTGAGCGGGTGTCGAACTCGGGATCGAAAGGTTTTTTAGTGCAGTGGGCTAGCCACTATACTATCGGTCCCCACACATGCATACACACACCGACATGCCAGTGACCGGCTGCCTTAATCATACACAACATGGATTGTCTAGAAAAGCAAGAGTACAAATGAGAAAGAAAGAATCAGTTCTTGAATCAAATCGCGATCCCAAACCATGACAAGTTAAATCAGATTGCTGGCGCATTGAATCATTATGCGGTTTGCTATCCACTGCTGGATTAAGGCCTTCCCACGATGTCACCATCGTTTCCGGTCGTGTGACGCCACAATCCACCTAGTCCCTGGGCACGAACTATGGCAGTGTTCTCTCTGAGCTTCACGGGGGCGCTTCACGTTGGCGCTTCACGTTGGCGAATGCAGTGATTTCAATTCGCCGTTTTATTTTTTTTCACGCAGGTGTCCAGCTGTAAAGAGCAAATCTCAGCGCTGGAAAGTCACCTGGAAAAGGCAAAGCAGGGAAGCTTGCAGGTGAGGGTTCTCCAAACAGCCATCGCGTTCTCGCCCTCACTCACACAGGCGTACAGTTCATAGTTCGTCCCTGCTCCCTTTGCCGAACCGAGATCGAACGAGCTGCGGTTAAACCCCGATTATCCGTGGCCCGGTTATCTGGATTGAGGGTTTTACCGTCCTTGGTGAATATTGCCGAGCGCTTTTTCTCGCACGCCGCTTTCATTTTTATTCGTTGCTCCTCGCTCTGAAGCGCCCCAATCCCTCAATCTGATGGATTGTTTTGTCTTCAGCCAGGTTCACACCTGAGCGACCAGTTGCGCAACCGACTTTTGTGCAACCAAATCACTTTTGCACCTTATACGTCTCCTCAACCGTTCGAGAGCAGCCGAGACGTCCGCCACTTTCAAGCGTCGACCCCCCCCCCCCCCAGCGATTCGTAGCGATGCGTTTTGTCGCGCGCCGCGCACTCGCGAGCTGCGATCGGTCGTCTCGATCCTGGCCACGCTCGTGTCATTTCCCCGTCGCGCTACGGCTCGCTCGGACGCGGACGCAGCAGCCGCAGGCGATCCACCACGCTGCGCGATTCGGTCGTGCCAAACGACCGCTCGGCCCACGGTGACGCCCGGCTTCAGGCCACTCTCGCCCTCACTTGACTCGCGCAGGAGCTGGCGAGCAGGGAAGGCCGGCTGGAGGCGTCGAAGGCCGAGCTGGAGGCGGCCCGGGAGCAGCTCCGCGTCCAAGAGGCGGAGGTGACCTCCCCATGCTTCCCCCCCCCCCCCCATCCCCCACGCTCTTCCCCTCTCACGCCACCTCCTCCCCCCCCCCCCGCGATGGGAGACAGAGCTTTTTGCAGCCAGGCTCCGCGATTGTGGAATTTCCTTCTTCCTCGGTCCGTTAGGGAAATCTCTCTGTTACACTTTTTAAATCACGTCCTAAAACTCCCCTGTCTTCACAACAGGCTTTCTCCGTCACTTAAGCTTTGCGTAAAATGCTTTGGGGCTTTGTGCGAATTGCGCTATCGTGGAAAACCTAGTTTATTGTTATGATTTGGCGCAACCCAATTTCTCCGCGCCCTATACGTTTAGACAAACGTGTCAAGCCGACGCTGGCGAGGGCGCAAATTTTGTCTTGACAAATATCCGACGGTCGTCTTCTGGGTGTCACCGCCGTCACCGAAACAAAAAATAATAAAAAATTAACGCTGACGAATTAACTCAAGGGTGGGCGACAATGAAAATAACGGCCGGCGGTCGATGATGATTGATGCTCGTTCCGAAGGCGATGGATGCGCGCTGAAGGATGATGGGGATAATGACGTTCGATTGACGGCACCGCATTGGCTCGTGCTGATTGATTGATTGATTGACGGTGGGGGGGGGGGGTGAAAGTGAAGGTGGGTGGCGGTAATTGACCGGTGCCCGTGAAGGTTGACCGCCGGGTGCCTGCGATGCGTGCGGACGCTTGCAGCTGTTGGCGGCACGGAGCGATGGGTCGCGGCTCCACCAGGAGAGCGAGCAGGTCATCTCGAGCGTGCAGGGCTGGCTGTCGCAGCAGAGGTACGCGCGCACAGACGCGGACACCCGACGGCAAGACGCCGTGTCTGCCGCGCCCGAGCTGTCGGTCGTGCAGAGCGAGTGTCTGTTGAATGTCGCACGACGCGGCTGCCTCCAAACTGCACGTCCGTGTCCGGACGAGTCACGCGTTCGGGATCGCAACGGCGCTTCAAATCGCCGAGCAGGATCGACGCTTGGAAGTCGCCTCCATCTCTTACCGTGGGCAAATGGTCGCACGCCTGCTCGCGACTGGATGGCAGATAACGCGTCCACGTTGTGGGCCCATCTGTTACGGGCACCTAGCACCGGCTAGATGCCGTGTCTGCTCACTTGTGCCACCCATTGCTGGGTGAATGGCTCCCCACACTGTCGCCGGCCTTCATGGTATGGAGAACGACTGACGGGGCGGTGAATAGATCCACGCCTGTTAAACGCCACCCTCGGTTCAATGTATTCGTACGGACCGAGTGTTGTGCACTCGAACTGCCAGGCACTCGCAGTGTGGAGCGAAGCCAGCAGAGGTCAGCACTAACTCACCACGCTTAGCGCATCACTTGGTCAGCACTAACTCACCATACGTGGCGAATATTCAAACTGGTCCGGGCCTCCCCTCGGCCGACGCAGCCTCAAGTGAGTACCTGGTGCGATTTGTAAGCATCGCTACTGATGAGACAAAGGCGGCCGGACGTATTGCTGGCCACCTTCATAGGTGCTCGCTACCATCACTTGCCCCACCAATCTGTTAAGGCTATAAGGGGGATATTTGTCTTTGTGTGCATGTGTCCAAGATGCACAGGAGACTATTAATCACTTGGTGATTCGCTTTGGCCACGCTGGACGCTGGCATGCCTCGCAAATCCGATTTGGCCATTTTCCCCAGTGTGTGTGTGTGTGCATAAGCGTGCGTTGGTGAGCCAGTCTTACGGACACACGTTAGCGACCTGCCACGTGACTCGTCCAATTTGGGGGACATTGAGAATCGTGATCTCGCCTTCGTACACTCCCACCCAGGTAGATTCAAGCTTCCGATAGATAGGTGTGCGGCGTTATTGCGGAACGATCCTCGGGAGATGGAGAGATAACCAGGTGGCTGCACATGAACCTTATGGCGGGACCCCGGGGTCCCGAATAAACGGAAGTCAAAACTCACAATTTATTTATTTTTGGCGACTCCGTCCCACCGCGTACATAAACGCCGCGACCCACCTGGCGCGGATCATTCTGTTGTCACGTCGTCCAAGCGCAGCGAGGACGAATGCGCAGAAGAAGCAAAACTTTGATTCGTGCATCGTGTAGAGCTCGTCGAGAGGAATAGATCGCCGTGTCGTTCGCCTTCAACAGACATACAATGCCGTCGCAACGCAGTTTATGCGAGAGGCGGGGGCTTATGGGGCCCCGGGGTCCCGCCTTCAGGTTCATTTGTCTCTCCGAAGTATTCTGGGGATGTACCTCGCCTGCTGCTTCAGCACCATGTGCCACGTTTCTTCCCACGTGCTGGGAGCTTCTTCGGCCACTGAATTGGTTATTGGGCAACTGAGTTGGTTCCTTAAGAGGTTCCCCGGCACGAGGAGCGAAACGTCGGACATGCCGAACAACACGCGGTATGACCCGAACACACATTGGACAGCTATAAAGCACGATCTTGGAACACCTACGCAGCAGTAGTATTGCGTGCATGCTTGCATGGTTAGGTTGGGGTATAGGCACAGTGCGATTGTACGTGTCATTGCCGATATATCAATGTCACCCTCGATCACATAAGCAGGGTTGTGCCTGGACGGTGCTTGGATGGGCGATTGCCGTGCACACCAGATGTTGCCAGGCGCTACCGAACAGAGGCCAGTCACAGCTAAATCAATCCCCCTCACCGACCAGCGTGGCGAAACGTGCTGAAGTTAATCCACGCGGCTCTTGTGGCGAGCCTCATCCAGCAGTGGATTGACCGAAGGGCTACGCGAATACACATCGGTGCATTGTGACGATGCGTAGGCCAGGCAATTGGGTGGCACCGGATGCTTTGCGAGAATGGGTTGTCCAGCCTGGTGTGGCCTGCGCCGGGCTGCGCGCGTGTCTCCCTAGGAGCGCTCACGAGCAGCTGTGCGGCCAAGTCAAGCAGCAGGGCCGCGAGATCTCGGCGCTGACGGCACAGAGGGAGTAAGAAGCCCCCCCCCCCTCCCCTACCGCCGCTCGGCGCCACGCGGTCATCCCGCGGTTATCTCTCACCGCAGCGCAGGGTCCGTGGCAGCCATGCATCCACCGCCGCCACCGCCACCACCACCGTACCGCTCGGTGACCTTCGCCAATGTCAACGGCATCAATCAGGAGCGGTGTCCCCTGCACCTCCCCCGCCCCCCCCCCCCCACCTCCTCCCACCCCCCCGCCTCTGTGCCATCGGATGTCATAGTCGGCCACCCTAATCGTGCTCAATCAGTGTCATCGTTAATGGGCATCATCGTTATTATTGTCGCCCGTCGTTATTAACCGTTATCGTCGCAGGCCTGGGCGGCCGTTGGGTTGCAATTGAAGCTCGTGGGCCACCTCAAATCGACACGTGTTCTTTCTGTTCTATCTCTTAAAAAAAGGCCAAGACTACTGCACTGACAGATTCTAGACAGGAAAAGCCTAACACTCTACCTAACCCCTAACCCTGAACACCTTAACCCTGCAGGAAAACTAAAGTAGCAAAGCTCCTTAGAATTTCATCACCTAAAAACTCAAGGAAGCTCTGTGATTGAACAGCAATCTGGTCCACGATTGGATAGATAGATAATAAATAGGGCAAAATAAACTCTTATATATGGGGACTGTAGAACTCACAAATCGTACTTTTTCACCCACGCCCGCTCACAACGGCACGGAACAAAATACACAACAGGTTCATGTTTTGGGGCAAAAGCTCTTCTTGCTAACAATTCATTCATTGAGCCTTGTCAGCCTATTGCATAATATTCACTGTAAGGTAGAGTTAACGAAAAAACATGGTGAGTTTAATTTTCAGTTATGCTTGCACATCATCGCTAACTCCGTTGCTGAACAATTAACGCTACTGTTCCACGGGTGGGGGGGGGGGGGGGCTAGAGCGGGCCTGTTTAAATTTCACGGCAAACGTTTAAACGTTGACATGTCTGTTGAACTTCTTTCGCACCGTACGTAGTCAACCATGCTACTTGGAGGTGCGGTGGGGGAAGGAAAACAAACGAAACATACAAAATTGTTCTAAAGAAATGAGTTTTTGATCTAGATTTAAAAGTGCCAGAGCTGCAGTGGTTTCCTAATATCAGAAGGAAGAGCATTCCAGACGGCCGCAGACAGGGGCGGATCCAGGGGGATTACAGGGTAGACAATTGTCACCCCCGAAAAAAAATAAAAAACGAGAATCTGAAACATTCTGCGTATAAGTGTACGACACTCGGTCTGGCGGACTCCATGCAACTGCTTTGTCAGAGTGTGTCGCCAATCGATGGCGTCTAGTTCAACAGCCTGACTCTCTAATCATTCTTGAAATTAAAATTTGTTGAATGTCACCCCGGGCTGAAAATCCTGGCTCTGCCCCTGGCCGCAGACGCATGTGAAAGCGCGCGATGCTCTGACCGTTTTTGTTCGATGGCTTGCGATGGTCGCATGTTGAACTTTTTTCCGCATCGTACGTTCGCCAACCATGCTAACCGGAGGTGCGGGTGAAGGACAACAAACTAAACCAAAAAGCAGTTCCAAAAAAATTAGTTTTCATTCTAGATGATTTAAAAGTGCACAGCTCCAGTGGCAATATCGGAAGGAAGAGCGTTCCAGACGGCCACAGAAGCGCATCTGTTAAGCGATTTCCTTATCGCAGCGCCCACAGCTTTACAAAAACCCGCCCAAGTGTGCTTCGACAACTCCGCGCGTGCGTTCCCGTACACTCACAACACCTGCTTCCGCATTTTCACCTCTGCCTCCCGTCCTCCTCTCACCCACCCCTTGCGACCCTTCCCCCTCCCCGTCCCGACCACAGCCACCTGCAGGACACCGTGCAGTTGCTGGCGCAGAAGAACGCCGCTCTGAGTGCCGAGCTGGAGAGCTGTAGGGCCGACCTGGAGCGAGCAAAGGTGGTGGCGGTGGTGACGCATCGCTAATAGGCGCTACCGTTTTGGCACAGAGAGGCACAGAGGTCGTTGTGGTCATGACAATCACGAATTTGAATAAAGTTACTGGATAATACCAGATCGGATATGGCCGTAGAAATGCACTATATTAGGTGCTTGCTTTATTTTAATCCTTTACATTTCAAATGTACATAACATTACTTCATTAGCACCTGCTTTAAATTATTGGTCTTTAACTCTTCAAGGGTGATTTGAACGGTTTTTAAAATATATTAACATAGTTTATTTATATGTAAGGTAGTTTTTTGGTGGTGGCACCAACCGCGCCTTATTCCACGATCTTTCCGTTGAAATATATATTTTCCCCTTGCTCAAACCGTTACCCTGCCACAACCGTAGGCTTGCATGTTTACCCACAATCCACCGCCACGGCCCGTCTCACAGCGGCCCGGTTCCCAAGGCAAAAAACGCGTCAGCCCTCTGGCGCCCGTCCGCTCGCCAGATAATAAATCACATCGGTGGGTTGGCAAAAACGTAACGATTCACGACGTTGACACATTGCGGGCCGTTTGAACAACGCGCTTGGCGGGTGACCGGGAAATTAATTGAGTTGGATTAAATTGGAGAAATAGCAACCCGAGTTGCGAAAGAACGGTCGATGGGTTTGTTGACTGCAGAGGTACAACAGCAACGGCAACAAAAAGTTCCTTTGTGTCCTTTAATCGCTGCACGAGTGCTGTGCAATTGATTACAATTGGCCCCGGGTTCGTGTTGACCTTCATTATTCGGGAACACTGTTCTTAGCGAGCCATATCCATACTGGCCGATGCTTTCATATTTGCTGCGTTTGTGAGTGCGGCACTTTGTTTTTTTTGTATGCGAAATTTCCATGAAAAGGCTCTGTATAAATAAAACAAATTTTAATTGATCGATCGATCGATTGCCAATGATGCCGCCCGGCTGAAAGATTTGTCGATACCGGCAAATCCCCTCCATCGCCGGGGAGAGCGGCGAGCCCGACGCAATCCGTGCGTTTCAAATCGCTGGAACGCTTCACCCCCAGATCCTGATAAACGGCAGATTTCGCCGAAGCAAGAGGGCACGCAAGGGCCAGGTGACTACTTCCGAGTCTGACATGTGTGCGCGCGTCCGTCCGTGCGTCCGCAGGCTGAGGTGGAGCGGCAGGAGACCGTGGTGACGCAGCTTCGCTCGCGACTTCACAAACAAGAGTGGGTCCCTTCCGCAGCGCCCCGGTGCCGTCTCTCATCGAGCTCGGCCCACCAAAGCCAAATCCTATTAAGTGTGGCCGCAGGCCGCGTATGTGTATGCAGCCCTTTGCCACTCCACTGCTGGATAAGGGCCTCCCCCACCGCCGTGGGGGTTGTTTGACTATTACGGCGCACCTCCGATTAGCAGGGTTGGCTATGTACGCTGAGAAAGAAGTTCAACATACATACGCCACGGGCAGTGCAGGTTGGTGAAGGCGGAGAGCGTAGACGTACAGTACAACGATATAATTTTGCCACACTATCCGCTGCTGCCTGCAACATGGCTCAGCTGCGCATGGAGGTCACCCATCCAAGCACTAACCGGACTCAAGTCCTGCTTAGCTTCTAAGATCTCACGAGGTCACACATAGGCTGCCGCATATATAAGCATAGCTCCATTGTGTGTCTCCATGTAAAAATATGTTTTAGTCCATCAGTCTATTTCGTTTCCCAGAACAGTATCATCAAGCAGCATTTGTTTACGAGATCACACTCTGGATGGGCTTCAACCTCCCGGGTCTCGTCAGCAGAGTCAGGCTTGTTAAACTAAGGCTGCTGGGTTACCAGATGTTATTGGCAAGAGCACTCCGTGCAAATTCCCGGGGGTGCATTCAATGCAAAAGAGACACGCAGATCGGCCAAATCTAAAAGACGAAAGTACAGAGTCTGACAGGTCCAACGGCACGCCCAGTTTGCCACATTGGGAAGCGCGAAAAAAAAACGAAAGACATCAGGCCGTCACATAGCAGCACAGCTCTGCAAGTCAGCCCTTGAAGGCACAAATTACCCTAAGTGTGCAAACTGAAGATTTGCCCTGAAACAATTGCCGCTCTAAAGTGCCCAGTCGTCTAGCAAATGAGCCTATTAGCTGTTGAATGCTGCGTTCTTTTTGACAGGCGTTGTAAAAATAATGATGATGAATTTGATGATACGCGGTGAGCATAAAATCTCAAATGCAATGAGTAGCCTGCTCGTAAAAATGCCCCCTTTTTACGGGTAAACAATATCGCGTCAAATCTTACCGTTGGAAACTTCGTTTTACCGCTGCGACACGCACGCGTTGCGTTGGCGTGGCGTGCAAGCGCCGCGTCCGTCCCAAGTGGCTGGCGGGTGGCTGCCGTACGGTGGCGCAGGCTCGCGGTGCGTCGCCTCGTCACTCCAGTCGCCAGACGTCGCAGTGGGCGGTGATTTCAGAGTCCGTTCCAGTGTCCCGCCGCACGCGTCGAGCGGTGGATTATGTCCCCTCGACTCATGATGCAAGCAAAGGTTGGAGCGACCTGGGTAGTGGGCGGTGCTACCTGGGTAGTGGGTGTGGCTACCTGAGTAGTGGGCGGAGCCTATGAGTATTGGGCGGAGTCAGCGCCAGAGTTGGTACTCCCTGTGGGAGGTGGCTTTGCAACAGCAGGTGCAGCTGACAAGAGGTAAAGGGCTGCCAGCTCACTCCGCCTTGTGCCCAGTTGAGCCTCTCAGAAGTTTATTAGGCTTTGGTGTTGAGCCGTGCCGTGCCCTGGGCGAGCACTCCTATTGTGTTTTTGTATCGTTTGTTGTAACCCAAAAGAAACCAATTATAAATCGGGTTCGCAATTGTTGCGAGTTGTTGGTCTGAACCCCGCCACCATCTGTGAAACTACTAGACGTCTGTGAACAAGAGCTTTATAGCTCATCGGATTCCTTCAGCATGAAAACAATATTCTGATTCTGAGCGGTGTCTCTGCTCAGGCGCGAGCAGGAGCTGGAGTTGGCCGAGAAGGCAGCCGTTGCGACGGACATGCACGGGCGGCTGAGGTCTCACATCCAGGTCACCCAGCAGCTCAACGAGCAGGTGCGTGTGGGGGCAGCTGAGAGGCACGTGATGTTTGTGTCCTAACCATGTTGATATCGACATTTTTAAAAGAAATGCGCGGACCTTTGTCAATCCACTTCTGGGTAAAGGTCTCGCATCACGCCGTGACAGTCATCAGACTCGTTTTGACTATACTTCACCACGGTGGTCCAGTGTGTGTTAGCAAAGGGAGGGACCCATAACCTCTTTTCATATATCGCTCCACCGATGTTAGCCTTTTCTTAGAATTTAACTCGGGTTCACCAGGCTCATAGTGCGGTGTGCTATTCACTGCGCCACCCGGCCCCACGCCGGTATTTACGTAATCCTCATCAGCCGTGGTCGATCCACTGCCAGATGGAGGCCACCCCCAGCCGTCGCGTGATCCTCAAGGGATCGCGCGACATAACGGACCACATGGGCCGAGCTCTTAGGCTCCGTCTCCGCGGTGGGTGCTTTAGGTCAGGGACACTTGATTCACCGTGAGAGTGCCTTTTGGGAGGTGAGTGGGAGAGATGGCTGGGCGTGAATTATGGGAGTGTCGGTGCATTGAGCCCACGATTCAGTGGGGTTCACAAGTGTAGCGAGTTGACGGTCTTGGCAGCCCGATCACCGATGACTGCTGAAAAAAAAAAACTGTCTTATTTTGTCACTTCATTCAGATTGTCCCGGTTATGGAATGGAAAAACCTGCGTTGAAATCGCACACTTACTAACACATATGAACACTCACAAAGACAGCAACAACAAAGGTCTCCCTTAGAGCTCTACTTTAATACACTGTTGGGATGAGATCTGTTAGCGAGCGCCTAATAAAGGAGGGGTGGGTGACCAACACCACGGCTGGCTGCCCTTGTCTCTCCGGTGCTAATGTTTACACACAGCACCAGGTGCTCATTGAAGGCTCGGTTCGACCGAGGGGAAGCCCAGGACCAGTTTAAATATTTACCACTGACATTGGTTGTGAGCGGTAATCGAACTCGGCTTGCCGGGTACAAAGCACAGTGCGCTGACCACTGCGTCACCGCTCCCCACCAATGAATTACACCAAACACGTACGAACATCCATACTCAAGTGGACTCACAAAGACAGCAAAGACACACATCCGCCTATCGCCTTCAGATGTGTTGGCTGCGAGTTGGTTTTGAACTCGGGTTATTGGGTTCGTAGCGCTATACATTGGCACTCACATAAATATTGATGCAAAAAAAAACAAATTGTGGCCAATGAAAACAGATACGTCATTCCGTTGCTTTGATGAATTTTTACAATCAAGGTTGGACATTTGATTCAAGAATGTATTTATTTTTGTGCGATTTTACCCTCATTTGTGTATTCTCACTCACGACACTCGCACGCACTTGCACACACACACACACACGCCCTCGCACATTAACACTCGTACACAATCACACACCCTCGTGCATACGTGCGCACGCATACGCGAACACCGACGCAATCTTACTCGCGCACGCACACACTCTCTCACGCATATGCACTCACGCTTGCACGATCTCACACTCTTACACGTACCCACCTCCATACAAACACACGCACGCTCGCACGTACAGCTGAGCACAATGAGCAAGGAGAACCTGGAACTGCGTCAGAGCCTGCGGAGGCACGAGATGACGAGGGGAGACTTGGGTCTGGCCCATGCTCCACTGCCCTACAGTCGAACCACGATGCCCCTGCGCGGATCCCCCAGAAACCCCTACGCCGCCGAGACCATGCAGGCGAGTCTCTGAGCGCCCGCCGGGCCGAGGTGTGGATGGGCACGGTCATCGTCGTCGTCGTCGTCAGCCATGATCTGTCCACTGCCGGATGAAGGCCTCTCTCGGGCCGTCGCCATCTGTCGCGGCCTCGCGATGATGGGGCGGAGTCCGGCTCCGGGTCTTGCACGCACGCGGTGGATTCCCATCGATTCCTTCATCACTGTGGTGGACTCCCTCTCGTTAGGATTGCCACGTGTCCTTGGTGTCCCAGGCTCATCCTCTTCATGAGGTGGCCATCCTGGGAGATCTGTAAAGTCTTCCCACGACATTAAAAGTCCTGGTTATAGCAGCACTTAAGTCAACCCGTTAACATGAAGTTCTCCTCCTCCCTGCCAGTGTTGTGAGATGTTCTTATTCCCGTGATAGCGTTTGCTTTTGTACTTCAAAAGATTGCAACCCTACCTCTTAGTGAGGTTTTTTTTTTCTTCCCCTCCTTTGGTTGTCACTCTAGAATTGCTCTCGACCGCCGGTCATCATTTCCCTCCGGCGGACACGTCCTGCTCACACCCGCTTAATGCTTAAGTCGATGCGATGTCTCTAACCTGGCTATCGTCTCTCATCCACGACGTGCTTCTCTTTCTGTCCCGGTCCATTTGCAGGTAGAGCTCGGCTCTCCCATTATTTAAGAATCATCAGAATCTGTATTTTTAGACTGCAGGAGATGGAGGAATCCGATGATCTTATGAAGCTCTTGTTCACAGATGTCCAGTATGGGCACGGGGTCAGCTAGATACAACAGCAAATCGATTCTTCTACCAATTATTCGACCAAGCGGACACCACGAGATGGATGGGGGGGGGGGGGGAAAGTCTCGCCTCTTGTTCCCACATGTGCCGCTGAACGGGAGGTGATGAGTCGGGGCTTAGTGGTGAAGGCGATGTCGACATTATCAGCCTTGGGGGGCGGGGGGACGTCTGGGTGCCCGCCAATTTTAAAGGGGGGCCCCCCAAAGTAATTGACCATTCTAATTTTAATCCATTCATGGACTCAATTGGCTCATCATCCCAGCTCTAATTCCAAGCTTCACAAGCTCCCGAGGTCATTTTTTCCATAATGAGGGCGGTGGTGGTGTCTGGGCATTTGAGCCGCAGACTTTGGGAGGACTTGTCCCTTTATTGTTGGAAATTGCAGAACCTGACACCAATAAAGTTTCCACCCTCCCCCACTCCACCCCCGCGTGTCTCTGACAACTATATGTAGTGTGTATATTTTAACCAAGAGGCAGAGATGCATGCATTATTGACCATTAGGTTATTATAAAACGTGTGATTTGTGTGCTTATAAATGACCATAAATGTGTTTTACGTTGGTGTACGGCCACAAGTTCTGTGTAATGATTGATCGTAAATTCCTCTGGTATCCCAGTGGAAAGAAAGCACCACGTAAAAACAGGACTTGATTTATCGCAGAAGTGTCTGTATCTAACGTGTATTCGTTTATCCGTGGTGGGTGTCTTTGTTTAATGCTTTACCGCAAGCCGTGAAATTCTGTAAATATAGCACGTGATTTTTAAATATACTTTGTCTACAAACTATTTTTCTGATTTTTTTTAAAGTCATCACTCAGGCGTTTTGAGTTGCACCTATCGCCCTCGCTCGACTTGAAATGAGCGCACAGCGCCAGGTATGTAACAGGTACTCCGCAATCATCTATACCACCATTTTGCCTATGATGACCAAGTCGAAGTAAAGGAATAATCTGTCCGATCTCGGAATATCTCGAGCGCAGTTGAGCCTGCTTAGTACTTGGAACAGGAAGACTGCCTGGAAATAATTGGGTTTTGTTACAATGGCCTGGAAGGTTGCAATGGAACAGTCAATCTATCTGTGCGGAGTTTTGAGCGTTACTACCTCAAATGCACGGGTTTTATTCTGGATACTCCAGTTTCCTCCTACACGAAGCCAAAACGCTCCTTCATGGATTTGACCAAACATCCAAACGTGGAAGGACGCTCCTGACGAAAGTCTAAGAGACTCGGGATTTAGTTGAAAAATAAATGGCAATTACTCTGCATGTACAGCCCTTTATCAGTGTGCTGATGGATGATGGCCTCCACATATCATGGGATATTTTTTTGCCAGAATCAAAAAATGAAAAATCTTAATAGGTTTTACCCTTTCTGGCAATGAAACAGGAGGTGGTGTTAAGATGTTCAAACACCATATCGAAACCTTTTGCAAGGAATCAAGTTTACTGCATTAACCACACAGGGTACTTACTCTGGTTATTCCGGTAAAGTCACGTAGAAAGAAATTAAATTAAATAATAATAGAATACGACGTTTCGATTGCAACACAAGCAACCATCATCAGGTACAAATGAAAGAGAAAACAAACAGTAAACTCAGAAATGTAATGCAATGCAACACAGAGAGTCGGCCAACACAACAGTCAACACCCCACCTGGTTGATTACGTTCTTCCAAAGATTGCTGAATTTGAGGGAGAGACAAAACATCGACACGGAGACACACAGACAGACACACAAGCAGAGGGAGACTCGCACAGAGACAAACAGAGGCACACACATATAGGCACACAGAAAAGCTTGCCTATGTGTGTACCAAGTTTACCATGTTTGTTTTCTCATTCATTTGCACCTGATGATGGTTGCTTGTGTTGCAATCGAAACGTCGTATTCTATTACTATCTAATTTAATTTATTTCAACGTGACTTTACCGAAAGAACCAAAGAGTAATTCCTGCAGTCGCGAAAGCTTCGAATCTAGTTCACACGGTACTTTTGGTGAACATGCAAACAAAAACATGCTCTGATGGTGTACGCATTGTCTTTGAAACTGATTGGCCCACACCAGAGACAGCTTTCTTTTTTATGGCCTAGAGCATCTTGACACCTCGTGTTTTATTGCCAGAAAGGGTAAAACCGATTCTTAGTTTTCCTTATTTGATACTGGCAAAAAGGTGCCATGATGTAGCTGCTCACACGGAGCTATACATACTTTGATACGTGCGTTGGCATTGTACCGTTCACCTTCTCTGGCGTTCTCTGGCTTCCACATGCTGTGTGGGCCATTGGGGGTTATCAGCGCTGGGCATTGAGGTTTGGAGAAAGTTGAAGGGGCGAGGACGTGCACGTGATAAGGGGCATTATTGTTCTGATTATATTTTTGGTGTGCAGGTGGTCCCATTTCACTCGACTGTGGAATTGCCATTCTTTATAGGGAGTAAGCGCCTTGTGTGAAACTCTCAGCACCAGCTCGCTCTCAACAAGAGCCGCCCGCTTGATCTAAAGAGGTAACTGTTTAGCGATTCTCTGCCCTGATGCTTTCATTTGCTAAAGGTCATCCCTGAATGGAAATATAATGCAATGCTCGCTTCTCGTAATAATAATAGGAACGTGGCATCTTAAATCTTTATAATAAGGTTATGGGGTAAGTGGTAAAAAGGGTGGCCGTATTTATATTCATGTGCCGACTTTCCTCATTAGCCTGGTTTGACTTCAGAGATGGTGTCGTCAGGCCGCCACGGTGGCGAGGAGATGTTAACTACCTCGCCTGGTATACAGGAGGTCGTGGGCTCGATCCCGACCCTGACGCCTGCTGCTGTATATTTGGAGTTTGCGGTGTCATCATCATCGCAGTGGCTAGGAGATGTTAGCTACCTCGCTTGGTATACAGGAGGTCGTGGGCTCGATCCCGACCCTGACGCCTGCTGCTGTATATTTGGAGTTTGCGGTGTCATCATCATCATCATCGCAGTGGCTAGGAGATGTTAGCTACCTCGCCTGGTATACAGGAGGTCGTGTTCTCGATCCCGACCCTGACGCCTGCTGTCTATTTGGAGTTTGCGGTGTCATCATCATCGCAGTGACTAGGAGATGTTAACTACCTCGCCTGGTATACAGGAGGTCGTGGGCTCGATCCAAACCCTGACGCTTGCTGTATATTTTGAGTTTGCACGTCCCCCCGTGGTCTTGTGGATTTTTCTTCGGGCTCTCCCGGTTTTTCCCTCCAAATTTAGACACATTCGTTTGAGAGTATTTGGCTGCCATACATTTCTACATGATAAGCCACTTCGTTGAGCTAACATTAGTGGCCACGTCGCTTCTGAAAAAGAGATACGTGGCTCAGTGGGCCTTACCTGGTAAAATAAAATAAAAAAAATGTTTATAGAGCTCTGTTGACTGGTGTGTAAATGAATACCGGTCCGCTCCAACATTTGTTCCCCCCAAGAAATGTTCAGAAAATATTTGTCGCCAACAGTGACGTCTGTACCCCCGTGGTTGGGGTCAATGCTTAGGACAAAGTTAAGACCAGCATTCATAATATAAGAAGACTCCCACATGTGATAGAATATCTTTTATTCCATTAGCCCATTGGTATTCCAAACCAATATTGTTTTCCAGCAGCATGTTTAAGCAAAAACTGTTGACGCGTTTCAACCTTCTGGGTTAAACAAATGCTGTTGGATTTCCAGGTTGTTATTGGCAAATTCCACCATGACGGGAATAAAAAAATAAATTTTTACTGGACCTGGACTCAGCAACTGTTTCTCAATAACTGTGGAAAGTGGTCGTAACACTCAGGTTTGAGTTGAACATAACATGGGTTAGTGACTTTCTATTTTATAAAAGAAAAATGATTGTTATGCAAAAAAATAAACAGGTACAAATGTTCAGAAGGGGAATCAACATACACACGCACCTCCGATTAGCACGGTTGGCTATGTACGTTGCGAAAGAAGTTCAATATACATACAGATATCGACAAATGTTTGCTCTTGGTGGGGGGAGGGGGGCGGGAAGAATAATCATGCCTTGGTGTTAATTTGGTGGGTAGTTTGTAGTCTCTGACGCCGGCACGGCGAGGCACCATGGTGAGGCCAGTTCCGTGGGGAGGCCGGGACCATGCTAGAGCAACTTCACCATCCCGGGTGCCGGTGATGATAACCACCGACCCACGCCGTGACTCACGTATATAGGTGCCCAATCTGAATGCGTATAATAGGGCGAGAATGACTAATATACCAATGTCATCCGATAATTTGGTGGTGGTGGTTGGTGATAACGATAGTGACGGTGGCAGGTGGTGGACGAGCCTGTGGATGTGAAGATGGTTGTGGTATTGCGTTGTGGGGAGCTGTGGTGTAGCGGTTAGCGCGCTGCGCTACGAACCCTGCAACCCGAGCTTGATTCGCGCTCGTGGCTAACGCCAGCGACGATTATCTGAACCGGTCCTGGATTTCCCCTAGGTCGAGTCAGCCTCAAATGAGTGCCGAGTACGATGTCTAAAAACATTTCCACTCGGGAGACAAAGGCGGCCGGGCGTGGTGTTGGCCACCCACCCCCTCGTGTGCCGTAGCCGGCCCTTCATAGGCGCTCGCTAACAGCCCTTGCCCCAACAGTCTGTTTAGGCTATGACGGGGGATCTTTGTTCGTTAATTGGTGGAGGTCGTTGTGATGGTGGCAGAGGTGGTCACGCCCCAGGGGTCACCTAAACATCGCCCTTGGGTTAGAACGCACAAAAAAACCCCTCGAGCCTCTGGAAAGTCGTCCTCTGGTAATAACGCCGCAATTCGTCATCGTTTGTTACCCGCCACGTGACTCGACCACACATGCGCGCTTTACGATGCAAATCGGGTAACGTCTGTTTAACACGTAGTAGGCTTTCGTGACCAATATTATTCATAATAAAGGTTTTTGGGTTAGATCGCGTAAGTAGGAATGTGTCGTAACTCTCCACCACCCGACACAGCCAATTAGTAAGGGATTTGTCAAATCGCCCGATGATGCTGGATATAATTACCGGCGAAACGTCGTACTACTCAGATTGTAAATGTTGTGGATTTGCTCTCCAACGCACCGGTGGGCTGAAGCAGTAACTAACTGGTACGTTTTGTTTACGTGACAAATCCCTTACTAATCGTCTGTGTCGGGTGGTGGAGGGTTACGACACAATCACACTTACGCGATCTAACCCCCCAAAAAAAACTTTATTATGAACGGGTAACGTCTGCGACACCGCTCTCAACCCAACCGGCGCGCGGTGCTTCCCCGCGGCTTTGCATCCTAGCGGCGTCCCCCGTTTGCCCACCCCTAAGGTGCCGCCGCAGCCGCTGCTGCTGCTGTTGCTGCTCGTACGATCGGGGTTAAGCGGAGTCCAGGCGAGTAGGCGGCTGCGCTGCGCCTGAGCAGCACCACCGTCATAATTGATGGCGCTGCTCTGGCTCCCTGATCTCCGGGCTCCCAATCGGGCTCCCCCCCCCCCATACCTCCGGGGTAACGGAGCCAACAAAAATAGGGTCAGTCACCTCCACCCCCCCCGTGTCGCTGCCTTCACCGCTCCCCAGCGCTCTGTGCTTCTACCCCCCCCCCCCAACTAAGCCACCTCACACGACCACCTCTCTTCACCTCCCCCTGCCTTTGTCAACAGCTGTTTATCGGTTTCCTTGCCCCTTTCTGAACTCCACTACCCCCCCCCCCCCCTTTCATCGCCTCCTATCAGACGGCCACACGTCTGTTGGCCCGTATTCCTTACTTCAACCAATTTACGCATCCGTCTTGTTGTCTCCGCT